GGGAACAAGTAAATTAAATAGATATAAATGGGGTAAGAGCTTTTAGGTGAACTCTTTAAAAGTAATTTTGTTTTATGGCATTGTGTACAGGGAATGTTGCCTGCCATTCCAGTAAATAAAGAATGTGGCTTGCCATTCCAGTAAACAAGGTTCAAGTCATCAGCCACTGTAGCCCCTCGAACCCCTCCCCCCCAAATGGTGCACCCTGAGGGGAATCCAGGATAGAGAAAGACAAGGAGCATTATTTGCTTTGGATACTGGCACTAGATAGTTAAGATGCATATCTAAGGAATAATTTCAATGAGCCCAGATTCTTGCATCTTCCCATAGATAGAAAAGCACTAAAATCATTAACCTGAGGTGCCTATTTTTGTGATTAGCTGTAATTTTTTGATGTTTGACTATGTGTGGTTTTTTTTTTTTCCCCTCTAGCAAAAGACTCTTATATATCCTGGCTCTTTTCTTACTTCTTTGGAGCAGTTTCTCAGAGCTATTTGAGAGGTTTTCCCCGGGGCTAGAGTCCTCAACAAGGTCCCCAAATAAAATTTAACTTGCAACTTTTAGGTTATTTTTTCTTCAGTCAACAGTATGTCTACTTAAAAATACCTTCTCCAGATTTTTGGTAACTTGAAACCTTGAAGTTTAGCTAAGTTCAGTTAAATGATAGAAGTTTATTAAATATATAGATGATTACCAAGTAAAATAAGATACTGAAACATTAATTACTGAACATAGGCTTCCTTTTACAGAGAAACTAAAGATATTCAGGACTGTTTTCATTTGTTTGTTTTATGGCCGCACTGCGTGGCATGCGGGCCCTTAGTTCCCTGACCAAGGATTGAACCCATGCCCCCTGCATTGGGAGGGTGGAGTTTTAACCACTGGACCACTAGGGAAGTCCCAGGACTATTAATAAGTATGTTTGGTGCTGCACTGAGAAATTTTCTATAAAAATTTTTTTTTAGAAATCACAAATAGTAATTGTAAGTTTGCCAATCTATAGAATGTGAATGTAAAAGACAATTCATAATCACTTATTTCTTAATTTTCACTACAAATTAAAGTTTTTAAAGGTTAAGAACTCTAATGTCTAATTAATTAAATTAATAAGGAAAACATCTTCAGATGCAAGGAAAAAAGATATAAAGAATAGAAATGCATTTTGTTAAGGGAAAAGAAAGTGATTTTGTCTTAAATCTGGTTATTTCTAAATGGGGGGAAAACGGACGGACAAATAAAGACATAAAACATTGTAAAAGGTTTGTGAGAAAGAAGGAATCTTTAGAAAGGAATTCTATGTGGTCAGGACTGGCTAAGAGTAGAATAAATTTAAGTATGTAAATAAATTTTAATAATAAAGGTAAGGTGGTGCAAAACTAGAATTTGATTTACTCTCTTTGTTAAAAAGAAAAAAATTTCTTAAAATATTGATCTGCTTTTTGATAACATATTGAAAAAAGTTTCTTTGCCTTTTAAGTGATGTTAACTTTCTGTATTTTGCCTTTTAAATCTTTTGTCACTTTGGTTAACTGAATAAGTATTGTTTCACAGTGAACTATGATTCTACTTGACAAGCTTCCCCAAATCAAATTCTAAATGAATTTCTTTTGATCTCTAGCTCACTTTGGGATGCTTCAGAGGGCTCCTGAAACATCTCAAAGAGAGATACTACATAATTAGGGCCTATTTGGTATGTTAAATTATATAGGACACATTGTCAAATAGTGATGATAAATCTACTTAGTTTATATTGTGTGGTAAGTGTTATTATATGAAATTACTAAAATTTGGATATGTCCTGGTATGTTATCAATCATAAATCTAGTTATTATCTTAATGTATTGTGTGTCACAGAAATAACCAAATTTCCCTGTCAATTGTATTGTAATTAGATCTTTAACCATGCCATTTTCACTCTTCTGTCATTTATAGACAGTTGTTGTTTTACTCTGATGATTTACAAGACTGAAGATCTTCAGGAAGATTCATAAAAAGGACTTTTTGACACATATAGGTTTCTGATAATTTTTAGATTATACCACTGAACTGGGTAAGAAATAACAAAACTGTAATGGAAAACCTGATGGCTTGTGAAACTACTAACAAAAGACCTAAATCAACAAGAATTATTTACATGTGACTGAATGAACTGATGAGTAAAATTTACAATTTTACGACTTTTTCTCTTAAATATTACTGGCTCTTACTATTTTTTTTCCAGATAAGAGTAAAACTTTCCTCTTATGCCAACTATGATGAGCAGCAAGTTGATAAATTATACCTTTGGAAATGAAGATAAGACATTTATCCTTTTCTCTCTACCTGATCTTTCCAGAATTTGGCTTCTCTATCTGGCTCCCCTCTGGATTTGTTGGCTTATTGCGATCCTGATTACAACTAGTTATACTAATCAGTGTTTTAATTTTTTCTCTTTGTTGTTTTCAGACGTTTTGTGTCTCTCGCTGCTATACTATGACCTTATTAATGCTACTACCTATATTACTTATATCCTATTTTATAAGATTGTTGTTCCTTGTTGTTCCATTACTTTATGTGTAACCAGATCTCTGACAAAACAAATGATGGCTAATTGTCGTGAGGCAATTGATCACATATATAGCTCTATACAAAATTACCTATAATAGTACAACTCTAGTTATAGGAAAAAGCAACAAGGGAGAAACAATTCCTGGATCATAATAGACTAGTAAAAAACATAATCCAGAGAATTTTTAGGTTATTAACAGGGCCTAATCCAGATATAGCATTTGAATAGCCTTTCAACAAAATCCTTGCCTGACCCAGGAATGAGCATTCCTAGTGCTGTGGGACAAATTGGTCACAAAATGCCTCCCAAAACATGGTCAACTTTATGACCAAAAGGAGGGAATATCTAAACAAAAAGAAGAGTCTTGGGGCTTCCCTGGTGGCGCAGTGGTTGAGAGTCCGTCTGCCGATGCAGGGGACACGGGTTTGTGCCCTGCTCCGGGAAGATCCCACATGCTGCGGAGCAGCTGGGCCCGTGGGCCATGGCCGCTGAGCCTGCGCGTCCGGAGCCTGTGCTCCGCAACGGGAGAGGCCACAACAGTGAGAGGCCCGCGTACCGCAAAAAAAAAAAAAAAAAAAAAAAAAAAAAAAAAAAAAAAAAAAAAAAAGAAGAGTCTTGCTCATCATCCAGTTATATTAAGGGTTAATATAACCCACTGCCCTGAGGGGAATTCAGAGTGGAGAAAAATAGGATGGAGCATTCTGTGCTTTGGATGTATGGCCCCTAAATAATAAAGATGCATTTCTAAGGAAGATTCTTGCATCTTCCCATACATAGAAAAGCACTAAAATCATTAACTTGAGATACCTTTGTGTGTGTGTGTGTGTGTGTGTGTGTGTGATTAGCAATAACCTTTTAGGAAGATGTATGCTTGACCCGTGTATTCCCCAGACAAGGTGCACTCAGCCACCCCTCCACCCCCTGTCCCCCGCCCTCCTCGCTGCGTAGCTTGCGAGATCTTAGGCTTGTGCGGTCTTAGTTCCCTGACCAGGGATTGAACCTGGGTTATTGCAGTGAAAGCACTGAGTCCTAACCACTGGACCGCCCGGGAAGTCCCCAAAATTTCATTCTTATAAACTGGCTACTCCCCAACCTCTTAGGAGCAGTCCCCTCAGAGCTACTGAGAGGCTATTTCCAGGTCTATAGTCCTCATAAGTTCCTTGAATGAAACTTAACTCACAATTTCTACGTTGTGCATAGAGCAGGAATAATAAAACATTCCTTTTGTTGGTTTTTGACCAAACCAACACTTAGCTCTCTTTTGGTAAATTAACAAAGAAATGATCCAGTCTGAAGGAGTTGTTTCTCTGTTCTGATGCCTTAATTGGCTGCTTCAGGGCCCATCCAAGAGGACTTTGCTAATCAAGGTGTGATCCAAGGACCAGCAGGAATGGGCATTACCTGGGAGCTTGTTAGAATGGGAGAATCTCAGACCCCACTCCAGACCTACGGAATCAGAAACTTCATTTCAACAAGCTCCCCAGGTGATTCATACACACAGTAACTTCTGAGGACTGCAATAGAATTCTTACTTGTCCTATAAACCCATTAGTGAGATTACAAAGGAAAAACAAAGCCAGGGAATGAATATATTGTCTATCTTTTTAACACAACTGACTGTTGGTCACCAGCATAGCACGAGTTTTCTCCTTGGTTACCATTCATTCATTCACTCATTCACCAAATATTTGGGAGGCAGATAAGCAAGCATAATAAGTAATTAACATCTATTGAGCTTGTTTAACCTTCTAGACATCCACGAGGTTATTATGCCTATTTCGTATGTGGGGATATTGAAGAGAAAAAGCAAGATGCCCCAGATGACACTAACAGTGTGCAGTGGAGGAACCGGGATCCGAATACATGCCTCTCTGAATGCAGAACTTACGTCCACCACTCTTTGCCGCCCACACGAGTGTACATTCATTCTCTCCCCTGTACAGGAATGTTGCACAAGGTCAGACTTCCCCTAGTTAAGTAGCCGAGTTCCTCCTCTGGCCCTGTGCATCGGGGCCAACAGCCAAGATCGGGGTCAGAGGAAAACAGTAACCAAGTCCCAGAGCTAACACTTTCCAGGAGTCTGGACCGAGTCTCGGGAGCAGAAGACTAAATCTGCAACATCCTGGTCACAGGGCAACATCCTGGTCACAGGACACAAACACCTAGACTTGCCATTTCATCCATCCCTCCATCTTGGTCCTCCCAGCATGGGACTCCGAGGCGAGAAGAAAGCCTAGACAAGCCTTCCCATAACAAAAATGGCTGCCATACACTCCCTGCCCACAGCTGACATGGTAGCCTCCGTTTGGTCTCCATGGTAACGCAGGCCGCTCTTTTCGAGCCGGCCTAGGCCAGGCTTGTAGGGAAATGAGGGGAGTTTCCCTCCCCCTCATTTTTGCGACAGTTGCCGGGAAAGTCACGGCAGTTGGCTGGTGTCAGCTGATTTACTGCAGCGGCGGTGGCGGTGGCGGCGGCAACGGCAGCTTGCAGCCTCTCTGGAGAGACGGAGGCTGGGCTGGGGTTACAGTCCAAAGTTTTCCCACGAGGATTTGCCCACCCCACCTCCTCTCTGGATACGTCCTCGCCTTGTCCTCGTTGCCAGGACGCCTGCAGGTGGTGGGACAGAAAACACCGAGGCATAAGATGAAGCTGTGACAGGTAAAGGGCTTTCGAGCTTCCCCGGGGCGGGGGGGACCCCAGCGCGGAATGTGCCCTCAACGTGAAGGTCAGAGGCCGGGGTTCAAGGGTCACAGCTCCGCTCCAACTGGGGGCGGTGGCAGCTGTCAGAGCGCAGCTGCTGGAAGCTCTGGTCTGTGCGGCGCCTGCAGATTCAGGCCCACGACTAGGCTCCTGTGCCTGGAGCGTGGGTCCTGCCAGGGGTCTCTGGGACTCCTTGGCCTAGTGAGTGACATTTGCTACTGGTGACACTGGCTTTGGTCTTGAGACGGGACCGCCTTGCCCGCAGTGGCAATCTAAACGGGGTGAGATGCTTAATGTTGATGGGTGGGTGGTTCTTAACAGTGCTTTTGGGAAATGCTGTGCTTGCTTTTGGGGTACACATAGCCTCTCCTGGTACTCTTTAGTTTGCCCTTGCCTAAGGTACTGAGACGTCTGTTAGTACACCTGCCCGCTCTCATCCTTTGCCCTAAGACTTGGTCTAAGAGGATTCCTGCTATGCCTGCTCCCTTACTAGTGGGTCCCAGCGTTCTGAAACTATATGTTTGGAGTTAGCAATACCCTGCCTTGGATTCAAAAATTGCGTTTTATGTTTTGATTCACTTGCTGTGTCAGTTTCTCAGGTCCTACAATTTGAAACTATGGCAGCTACAGTTGCATCACAGACAGCACTGGAATTGTTGATGCTGCTGATTTAGGGTTCAGTGAGAGCTACAGCTTGCTTTTGCGTTAGCATTTGCCAGGAGCCAAAAAAGGCAAGCTGTGACTCTTTCCGACGTTTATTGTTTAGGGCTTTATGGGCAGGATGTCAAGAATTGCCTGTTATATGAGAGAAATTGATTGAGTTTTTGAAATATACACACACACTTCTTTATAAGTAATTTGTGACAGTATGGAGGTGGAGGACAGCTTAAAAGTGAAAATAATGTGTTGAAATGCCTTTATTATTTCAAATCGGGCAAACAGAACAGTATAAATACGTAGTAAATGCCTTGTTAATTTCCTTTTTTTAAAAAATGTATTTTATTAAGGGACTTCCCTGGTGGTCCAATGGTTAAGACTTCCTGTTTCCACTGGAGGGGGCGCGGGTTCGATCCCTGGTCGGGGAACTAAGGTCCTGCATGCCGCGCGGTGCGACCAGAAAAAAAAAAATTTTTTTTATTGAAGTACAGTTGATTTATAATGTTGTGTTACTTTCTGGTGTACAGCAAAGTGATTCAGTTGTACATATATATAATAGTTTGCATTTGCTAATCCCAAATTCCCAATCTATCCCTCCCCCCCCCCCCCCTCCCTCTGTGCAATCACAAGTCTATTCTCTATGTTTGTGAGTCTGTATCTGCTTTGTAGATAAGTTCATTTGTGTCATATTTTAGATTCCACACATGCCTTGTTAATTTTCAGAGATTATTGTGAGAAATTCATTTAAGTGTCTATATTTTAAATTTTGTTAATTTTCAGAGATTGTTAATTTTCAGAGATTATTGTGAGAAATTCATTTAAGTGTCTATCTTTATTTTAAAAATACTTCAAACCTTACTTAACAGCAAGACCGGAGTGTACACTTTGTTTTTTCTTATTGCCACCTGTAGCTAAATTTTAAAAGATCTTGATAATTGGATAACTCAAAGGGACTGGGCTTTGCCTTGTTTGAATACCACTGTGGGAACTTAAATTTTGAGATAGCCTTTTCTTTTCTTTTTTTTTAATAGGGGGGAATACCAACCTTTATTTACACTTGGGTTCAAGTTCAGAGCCTTCTTAGTATAGCGAAGTGGTAAAAAGCACAGATCCTGGGACTAAGGTTCATATTCCAACACAGAATAATAAGTAAGTGATAACTGGCAAATGTTACCCACAGTCTCTTCAGTAAAGTGGGGAGAGCATCACCGCAGCTTCTAGCAGCTATCATGGCTGCCTCTGCCCCAGTGTCCACCCTGGGTACTCCACCTCGGAGGCAGCTCAGCTAAGAGAGTGTGGGCTCTGCAGGTCTCAGCTCAGAGATTAGAGTGGGACTCAGTGAGTTACTGAACCTCGGAGGTAGCCCCTCACTCCAAGACATTTCACCAAAGGCAAGAAACAGGAACGTGGAGTGGTTCAAGGACTGAGTGAGATCTTACAATTTCCTTTGGTTTTCATTTGGATATAAGCAATGTTTTGAGGCAGAGGAAGCGAGGTGGTCTATCTGTGTGACAGGCTTAGCATCGCAGACTCTAAAGGTAGCGAGCTGGTTTTGTGCCTTTGCCATCGGAAGGTAGGGTGACATTTAGCCTTAGTGGTGTCCTCTATGTTAGGTGAGTCCTTAAAGTTTGTTTTGTACCTCAAATGCAGAGGATTGAGTTAATTTTTTCAATTCAGTCATCATCATTGGGCTGTTCAACGTGTATCTCCGGTTTTTTTCCATTCATTGTCTTTTATATCCAGTTTCCACTCCCTCCCCTTGCCCACCAACCCATAGACAGCCATTCTGACGTGTAGGATGTGTATCCTTCTGTTGGTATGTTATTAAATGTGTGTTATTTTGGGTGCCCACATTTTATATAAATTTATTTAATTATTTGTTTATTTTATTTTTGGCTACATTGGGTCTTTGTTGCTGCGCCAGGGCCCTCTCCGCCGCGGCGAGCGGGGGGTGGGGGGGCTACTCTTCATTGCGGCGCGCGGGCTTCTCATTGCGGTGGCCTTTCCTGCTGTGAAGCGTGGGCTCCATGTACGCGGGCCTCAGTAGTTGTGGCTCGCAGCCTCTAGAGCACAGACTCAGCAGTTCTGTCGCACGGGCCTAGTGGCTCTGCGGCACGTGGGACCGTCCCGGACCAGGACTTGAACCTGTGTCCCCTGCACTGGCAGACCAACTCCCAACCACTGCGCCACCAGGGAAGTCCCCCTAGGCACCCAAATTTTAAATTTATAGAGATGATATCATGCATGATCTCATTAAAGTTTTTTCGCTCCCTACTGTCTACTATTTAAGGGCCTATTTGTGTTGCTGTCCATTGCTTCTAACTGATACACAGTACTTCAGAATTTCCATCTACTACAGTTTATATGCCAACTGTCCTATTTGTGGATACCCATGTAACGTTCATTTTCCTACCACTTTAGGCAATACTGTGATAAACATACCTTTTAGACCTCTGTGATGCTTTCTTTGAGATACATATCCAGCAATGTGATTTCTGGATCATAGGGTTTTCATATATTTTATTGAAGGATTGCCAGATTGTGTTCCAGAACAAGCTGCTGTGGTCTCTACACCTGCAGGTGGTTCAGGAAAGTTTCTGTATCCTTGTAACCCCACCAATGTTTAGTGTTATCCAGCCCCTTGCTTCTTCCAGACGAATGGATGCAAAGTGAAATCTCATTTTAAATTACATTTCACTATTACTCATGAGTTTGAGCCTGTCTTCATGGGCATTTTATCCTTTTGGGTTTTCCCTTTTGTAAAATTGTTTATTCCTTTACCCATTTTTATTCTGAGGTTTCACGCCTTGTTGACCTTCACAAGCTCCTTGTATTTCCTAGATATTAGTCCTTTAAATATTGTATCTGTTCCTATTCTGTCATTTGTCTATAACTTTTTTTTATGATGTCCTTCATTGAACAGAAATTTTCTACTTGATATAATCAAATTAAAAGTTTTTTGCCTATGGTTTGTGTTTTGGGGGTTTTGTTTAAGAAATCTTTCCCCAATTCTGTGTCACAAAGTTACTTATTTTATGTACTACTAACTTTATAGTTTTCCTTTAAATTTATAGGTATTGAATACATCCAGAGTGTCTTTTTACATGTCACAAGGCAGAGATCCAGTTTATTTTCCATATAGTGTGCCAGTTTTCCTAGTGTCATTCTCTCCTTTTCCCACAGATAAGTGGTACCACACTTACTGTATATTAACCTCTCATAGAAGCTCTGAAAACTGCCTTCTGTTCCTTTGGCTTATTTGTTTGCTCTTGCTCTAATATCATGCTGTTTTAGTACTGTGGCTTTGTATGGTTATTTTTTCCTACATGAGTAAGTTTTCCTATTTATTTTGTTTTAGCTTTATTTTGAAATAATTATAGATTAAAGAAGTTGCAAAACTAGTACAGAGAGGTCTGGGTTCCCCAATGGTTACATTTCATATAACTTCACCCAATTTCCCTCAGCTGTTACATTTTATACAACTATGATGAAATAGCAAAACCAAGAAATTGACATTGGTACAATACCTGTATATAGTTCTATGCCATTTTATCACCTGTGTAGGTAGATACCTGTAACTACCACTGCAGTCAAGATACAGAACTACTCTATCACCACTAAGACCTCCTTTGTGCCACCCCTTTCAAGTCAGTTCCGTCTCCCTTCCTCTATTATCTCTAACCCCTGTTCACTAGTCAATTTTCCATCTATACTTTGATCCTTACAGGTGTGCTGTATAAATGGAATTAGACAGCATGTGACTCTTTGAGATTGAGACTCATCTGAATTGTTGGGTGAGACAATTTTTGAGACTCATCTGAACTGTTGTGTAATTTGGGTAGTATTCCATGGTATGTATGTACCACAGTTTGTTTAAACATTCACTGGGACATTGGGGCTGTTTTCAGTTTTTTGCTATTACAAATAAAGCTGCCTATGGACATGCTTGTACAGTTTTTTTTGTGGATATAATTTTCCACATCTTCTGGGATAAATGCCTAGGAATGTGATTGATAGGTGGTATGGTGAGTATACGTTTAGTTTTTGAAGAACTTGCTAAACTGTTTTCCAGAGTGGCTGCACCATTGTACATTCCCACCAGCAGTGTATGAGAGATTGAGTTTCTTTGCATCCTCGCGAGCGTTTGGTAATTGTCACTATAATTCACTGTGGTCTTAATTTATGTTTCCCAAATGGCTAATGATGTTAAATTTCTGGTAAGGCAAGTTTTCCATTCTTTTTCCATTTTCAAAGTTGGCTTAGCTATTTGTGGATTTTTATTCTTTTCTATATATTTTGGA